AAGCGGTGTCAAGCTAGATAGATGAGGGCCGACCTGCATAGGTCAACCTACTTGTTGCCAACGCGTTCCGATATCGGCTTAGAGGGCCTTGAAGTTGAAAGCGGTTTGGCTTCCCCTTAGAATTCGATTGGGTCAGGTTGCCAAAGTGGTTACTCAGAATTTCGGCCATCAAAACGATGTCGAACTACCGATGTATCCCAAGGTCGGCGTATGGGGGCCTTAGCTAAAAGCGGTTTGGCTTCCTCTTAGTAGATTTTCGTCGACGTCCACGTATTGTGAGTCAGCTTGTCCAGATCACCAAAGCGCTTATAATTTTGGCTGTCAAAATGATGTCAAGCTAGATAGATGGGGGCCGACCTGCATAGGGCGGACTACCTGTTGCTAACGCGTTTTGAGATCGACTTAGGGGCCTTGATGCTGAAAGTGATTTTGGCTTCCCCTTAGAGTTCAATTTAACCAGGTCACCAAAGCAAATGGTCATTCTATAGTAGCTTTAAACGCGGCTGCATCTATGCCATCACATAGGATTGACTGTTTCATGTTTGTGTTCGCAAGTCAATGAAGCACATGTGCTACTCCGCTCCTAGAACTGCTTGTCGTCCACTCCGAGAGCCATGGGGGCTCACCTTGAGGGGATCACTCAATTGTTTACGAGTCACCTACCCTCATAGGAACCGTGAAAGGTTTGATCTGCGAGGCCGATTCCACATTCAGCTCGCTGCCCACTCTCACGAGAGCCATGAAGGGCTCGATCCATAGAGAGGCTCTACAATTGTACTGGGAGACAATCTAGGCCAGACCGCTGAAGCTCGGCCARGCTGGTCGTTTAGTTTCTACCCCCTTGTGATAGCGTCATTGATACGTGCATTGCTATTAGCATTTGAATGGCGGGTCGGTGCCACAACTGCACTACGTTAGTCCTCAGACACACTGGTCGTCTACTACGATAAGCCATAGGGAGCTCAACCTGCGGGGGCAGCTCTACTAACTGCAGGTTGCCAACTCGCATGAGAACTTTGAAAGGCTTGACCCGCAAGGGCAATTGTAGTCCGTTGGCCGCCGACTCCCGTAGTAGCCACAATGGGCTCAACCTGTAGGGTGACCTCGTGAACAGAGTTGACGAGGCTAGTCCAGGATGATTACGTCTCGCGAGTAAACTCGTCCAGGTCGCCAAAGTGAGTCTCAGTCAGATCACTGAAATTTTAACAAGCCAGTTCGCTCTTTGCACCTCGGCCTACATACACCTCGTCACCTCGGTAGTGCTAACCTACAAGGCTCCATAGTCTATTGACCATTAACTCCCATGAGAACCATGGAGGGCTCAACCTGCGGGGCGGCCTCATAGTTTGTTGGCCATCAACTAAAAGAATGGTAGGATCCATCTTATGGACGCCAAAGCTGTTGCGGAATGGGAGGGTGAATTTCAAAAATTTTCCTACATTCTTCCAATTGAGAATCATATTCCCTAAATTTAGAATACAATATTCAGGGATCCTACTTGAACCATAATCGAACCAGATCTGAACCAAAAGACAAGGGAGGAATTATACCTGATCCAGAGAAGCAGTATCTCCCAAAGATGGTGTTCACGCCCAAAGAGGACACCAAGATCCGCTCCTGCCGAAGATGACACAGCAATGTGTGAAACGGAACCAGTAGAGTGCGTCCTACACACTGAATCCTTCACAAGAACCCTCTAGAAACACTGAGCACCGAATCTTTTCAGTTCTTTCTGCAGAACTGATTCCTTGATTTTTTTTCTTCAAAGATCGAATCTTTTCAGAGAATGGTGGCAGCTGGAGGAGAACACCTGAGATGAAGATGGCGAAGATTGCTTCTCTTCTCTCTGGAGTGTATGAGATCCTATCTCAATTCGCAGTAAGTTTTCTTACTCCAAATCCTAGGTTCGAATTCTGTTATTTTTCTTAGGATTTCTCCTCTTTCTTCTTGATTAAGAAATCTCCTAATCCCATTAGGAGTTATCTCAATCCAAATCAGTATCTAGATAGAGGATGATCTTAATCCCATCTGCAGATTATGTTAGCTTACTCCTGATCTTATCAGGAGATTACAATATTCAAATCTTATTCAAATTTGGTCTCCTGGAGTGGATTAGGTTAAAGGCCCAATCCTCTTACTAACCTTAATCTCAGATCCGCCCCTTAAGTGGGTGATCATATCAGCCCAGTCCGAAATGGGCTTTTGGCCCATCAAGTGTTCAGTACTTAACTAGTTTCCAATTTGCTGCCCAGTTGGGCTTCTTTGTATGGCGTAAGACCCAAACATTGATCTACACACCAGCCACATGGGTTCGGCCCAACCTTTATTACAAGGCCTAGCCGAATTCACTGAGAAGCCCAGTGAACCCCTGAGCCATCACATGGACCCTATGGGCCCAACAGTTACACTAAGTGGTCCATGTGCCAAGCCATCTTATAATAGCCTAAGGACTGTGGGCATGTGCAAGATTAGCCCATCAGGTATTATCCTAAATGGYCTTACACTTAACCTCTCAGCCCATAATGATCAAGCACTGCCCGACAAGAGAGGACCTCTCCCTCGG